CTGAGGATCGCGGTTCAAAGCCAGCCCGGGCAGGAGAGACCGTGAGACTCCTATCTCCAATAAACCACCAGAAAACCGGAAGTGGTGCTGTAGCTCAAGTGGTAGAGCTCTCGCCTTGAGCTGAAGAGCTGAGGGACAGCGCCCAAGCCCCATGACCGACAAAAAAAAAAAATGTATGAATTCTACTGCAGAGAAGTAAACGAATTGGGCATATTAGAAAATTTGTTGGAATGACCTGTACCAATTCATTTTTGAAGCTTTTAAAATAAATTGCAGAACGTGTAAATGGAATAAAAACTGTCATCATCAACAAGGGCATATTTTAGGGTAGATGCAAGAAAGACACATGAGGCCCTTCATTAAAAGCATTTGCCAGGGGTGTTTCCATGGGTGTACTGAGCTCCAAAGTCCACAATCCCAAATACAACTGAACTCACAAACCTCTTAACGGTCTGCTTGGTGGGAGTCTGGTAATCGCCTAAGTAGATCAGCGATATTTTTAGGAAGCCCTAGAACTTCTTTGTGACAAGAGTTCTAGTACTTGGGTGAGTTCTGTGGCCCTCAAAGTCAAGCAGTTCATCATAAAGAGGCAGACTGTAGGAAGAGTATATAAACTCATTCCCAGTTTACTTAGCCCATTTTGACATCATCTTTGGTTGTAAAAAAAACTTGGTAGATTAGGTCTAGATACAAGTGACAGACTCCCAAAACAATACCGGTTTAAGTAGGATAGATGGCCAGTGTCTCTTTCCTATAAAAATATGGTAGTAATCAGCCCAGGCTGGTGGGAAGGGCAGGTGATCTCTGTCCCCAAAAAAGTTAGTAACTCAGGTTTGTTCAAACTTATGCTCTATCAGACTCAAAGGTGAGATTCTCCTTCTCATTGACCAGGATGGTAGCTTTCCCACAACAGAAAGCAAAATAGAATAAGAAGGTGGGTGGTATGTGCCTGCTCTTCTTCTGGAAGATCACAGAAGCTACTTAATTTCACTTTTGCTTTGATATGTTTGCTTCTTTCTCACTGGCCAGAACTTAGCTAGATAACTCTACCAAACTGCAAGGGATGCTGGGAACCATAGTCTTTCTGCTCTCTGAACACAGTTGAACTGCATGATATATTACAGGAAAGAAGGGGAGAATAAATATGGAGAAGAAAAGTTATAACCTGTACCTTCCTTTTCCATTCTCATGGCATCATGGTATCAGCAGGTACCCTGAGGAAGTACTTGAAGTAGCCAGCCATAGTTAGATTCCAGAATGGACCTTGAAGTCACCTTGCTTGGGTTTGAGTACAGGTTTTTCTCAGATGCACGGGAGAAGTAGTAATCATATCTTCCTCTTCTAGTTGTAATAATTAAATGAAATAGTGAATATTTTGGATGTGGAATCTTAACACCTCAGAATCATTTGATAAATGTTATTAGCTCTTATTATTTAAAAGATAAAGCAAAATGTTTTGAGTATTCAAGTACATCTAATTTGGAAAACATATTCACTTTTTTTTCAGGTATGATAAGGTTACAGAGTGGTTCTTATTTTTATTACACTTTCCCCCTTCACAACATTGGCTGAGATGTGCATGACTGGTTGGGTGTGAGGGAGTGATTTGTAACAAATTATCAAGGTGATTTCTTTGAATTTTCCATGTATTTTGCATATTTCACTGACACCACTACAAAATCTCTTACATATGCCATTTTTTTATGTGAAGCATATATTTTATAATGAGAATTGACCCTTCTCAGGAGAGGCATAGTGATAAGTAGAATGGCTGCATGGGTAAGCCCAAAGCCTTGAGTGTAAGCCCAGTATTGGAAAACAAACAAATCAAAATTCCTACTATCATAGCAAAGTAGGAATTGAGCATCACATTGAGAAGGCAATTCTTGGATCAGTCAAGTTTGGATGGAATGTAGATGGAGTTTGCAATTTGCCCAGGCCAGGATAAGTCTGTATTACAGACATAAAGTCAAGGAAAACATAAAAGTATTAGAGCTGAAAGCATGACTCGAGTGATACAAAATGTAAAAGTGTGATTGGTGCTGGTGGTTCATGCCTATATTCCTACCTACTCAGAAGGCTGAGATTTGAGAATTAAGATTTGCATCTCCTGGGAAGACAAATCTGAGAGACACTTAATATCCAATTAACCACCAATAAACAAGAAGTGGGGATGTGATTCAAGTGGTAGAGCACTGCTATGAGTGAAAAAAAAACAAGCAAGCAAGCAGGCTCTGAGCTCAAGTCTCAATACCAGCACAACAAAATAAAATTAATAAATATGGAACTGTGCTTTATTTAGAAATGATGATACAGAAGCAGTGAGTAAAAACATAGCTTTGATAACTAAGATCTAACAATTTTCTTATGATTGCAGACAACAAAGTATTTGTATTTTTATTAATTCCTAAATGCTCTTTTGCTTCTCTCTTTTTCTTTCTTTTCTCTAAGCCCCCTCTCTGTTCTGTGGCTTTTCTTTTGTAACTCCTCCAGAGTACAGCTTTGTTCCCCCTTCTTCTACTCCTTTCTGGTCAGGTACTGCTTTACTGCTTTTATATGTCTCTCCAACCTGCTTCTGTTTGCAAATGAATTATTTCCACTCCTGTATATGGCTTCTCATATAGATACATCTCCTCATAGACAATCCCTAGAGCTCCATTACTACCATGCACCTTACTCTTCTCTGTTGCAAAGTCATTGTGTGTCATGACATTTCACTTCTCTGGCTTTTTCAGTGTGTGTTCATTCCATATATTTCAACATGACATTTTATAATGTGTCTGTCGTAGAGGTTGAAGGGGGATGGAGGCTAGAAGTTATAAGAGAGAAAAAGTACTCTGCACAAAAAAAATCAATTGTTCCTTGAGGACTAGAAATTTTAGTTAAGAAAAGGTAATATTTTTGTGCTTCTGTGAAGAAAATGAAAAGAACCCAAGTCATAGAATTATCTCCAAACAGAAGAGTAGAACTCAGTAGATATTATTTAAAAGCAAGACAGGTGCCCATCAATTCTACTATTCTTCAGTTTATGCCCGGACATTTTGGTCTTGATTTGCTAGAGAATTAGATGCTACTGATATGACTTAGAGAGGACAGTGTTATGGCTAGGGAAAGTATATTGTGTTGCAGGTTTTAAAAAGATGAATCTGTAGATCCCAGTAGAATCATAGAATTTTGAAATGCAAGACTCTAGAAGTCAGCTAGTACGGCCTTTCGTTTTATGGATGAGAACAGTGTGGCATAGAGGGGTCAGGGGCCTGTGCGAGGTCACCCAGTTAAGCTGGTGATTGGTTGTTTTCTTTTTTCTTTTTCCATCATGGGTATTTTTATGTGCACTGACTCTTAAGAGTAGTGCCTGAGCAATGGGACAGTTTTCAGTAAGGAAACCATTAAAAGTGGTATGTGTCCTAAGCAGTAAAATAAAATGACCTATTTCTGCTCCCTTTACAGTTCTGTAACCGACAGCCTTGCCATTCGTTTATCTTACGATCGACACTTGGAGACTAAAAAAACTATCTGTCATTACAAAACCATGAATGATAGGCCAGAGATCCCTGTTGCCAGGTGGGCAGCCTCTCCTGGGATGGCTGGGATCATAACCATGGCCACCTGGGCATTGGGAACTGTGAAAAATACAGATGGATGGGATTTCCTATTTGTCTCTTTCTTACAACTAAATTCCTCTTACCATTTAAGATTTATAAAGTCTCACCAATCCCAGATGAGTGATTCTCGGAATCACTGAACATATAATTGAAAATACTTTATAACCCCAAAGAGCAACAGGTGTAGAAGTTAATATAAAACGTGTTATAAAGCACTAGAGACTACCAAACAGGAACTGCCTAAAAGTAGTTTTCCTTTCAGAGTAGGGCATACTCCTCTCCTGACATGAAAAATATTCAAACATGCCAACAAAAAAACTCTGCACACAAGAGGTGAACACCCTGACATTATGTTGTTGATTAGATGTATCATTACATTTTCTGTAAGGTGGTGTTTCTTCAGAAGGAAGAAGACAGGAGCGGTGTTTGTATGTTCTTTCTGTGAACCCTGCTTCACTCTTCCTCATTAATGAAATTATATATAAATTATAGCTGAGTTTAACCCTTAATAATTAAGGCAAAAGAGCTTGGATAGGGAGGAGAAGGGGCTGTAAAAAAAAGTGAGATCTGTAAGGAAAGTAATTAACTTGAGAGACCAATCCAAGTAGACAATGACTTCTATATAATGAATGCTTAATTACATTAAAATGGAGGAACTTGTTCTGCCATATAATAATGCAAAATACCTTTGCTCATATATCTTTACTATGTCTTAAATAAATTAAAATACAATTATCCATCCAAAATTTAACTTTTCTCCCAATCACTCTATATGCCTCCATAATATGTCCAGTAAAAAGGAAGCAAGTCCAATGAAGTATAAAATAATATTTATCTAAATGAACTGTAGGAAATGGAAACAAGAGATTTTTTTTCCTTTTTTTAAAAAAAAGTGATGAGATCAAGCTGACAAACTTTCATCAGAGGAAAAAGTTCAGTTGTTTTTATTATTAGGGGAAGCAGTTATTCAATGAACATGTAACCTTAGAGGTTCTAATGAGGAATAGATTACTTATGCTGGATGATTAATTTTGCTAAAATTAGTACAGATTTTATCTTTCACATTGTAGCTTAGATACTCCCTAGGGTTTTTTATTATTATTTTACTGAAAAAAATTCATCTTAGAAGTTTTTATGAAGAATATGAAAACAGAATAGTGGCTCTTTAAACTTTATGAAACAAATTTTCCTGCCCCTGATTGGAATGAATCAGCATTTGTGCTGTTTTCAAGCTCCTCTTCCATTGTCATGGGTGTGTAGTGAAGTCACGGCTGTGTGTTTGAGAGCATCAATAACATTCATCTGATTAGCTTCTTCTGGCTGGTCACCAGCAGCATGTCAACTCTGACTCTATGGCATTTTTTGTGTTTTTTTTTTTTTTTTTCCCCCTCACAGTGCTAAGCCCCAAAGTGTTGGGCATTGCCGTCGCTCGGTATGACTTCTGTGCGAGAGATATGAGAGAACTGTCCTTGTTGAAGGGAGATGTGGTGAAGATTTACACAAAGATGAGTGCCAATGGCTGGTGGCGAGGAGAAGTCAATGGCAGGGTAAGGTTTCTCTCCGACGGGCTTGTGTGTGTGAATGGAAGGAGCCTTGATGGTCTTAGACAGTCATCACATAGGGTAGCCTGCACCCGACCAGGCCCCTGGCCTCCAGAGATGGGGGAGGGGACTGGAGTGGGGATTTGTGCCTTGCTGGTAATGGGCACTCACTGATAATGTATTGAGCACAGTTGATCCAGGTGTAAACCCACCTTAGCAAACGTAATAGCTTCCTGTCTAGAGAAGAACATTTCGGTTCTTTTCAGAACCTAAGCATTAGAACATACACTCTGTTTAGTGCCAGATATCTAGAAGAACTGCTGATCTCAAGAGGAAGGGCCAGAGTACCTCTGTTTTTACATCCTGTTCTACAGCAGAAATAGGAATGATCATGTAGCTGAGCCCCACATTACATTTAATTTGCATACTTATTTGTGTGCCAGCAACAGATTACTATTTAAGCGTATTTTATTCCTCCCTTTCTATCACTCACTGTATTAGGCTCCTAAGAACAGTTAAGCCAGTCTTCTTTACCTACAGTGGGCTTAAAACATTAGCCTTATTGAGGTGCTATGAAAACTAAATGCTCTGTGTGCAGAATCTTTGGAAGTGGCAGGTACAAAATCACATTGCTATATTGGTTGTTTTCCTTTTGCAGGTGGGTTGGTTTCCATCCACATATGTAGAAGAGGATGAATAAGTTCCAATCCAGCATGGCACCCTGCACCAAATATCTCAGAAAAGGGATAAACAGAAGCCTGCACAGCATTATGAATTAACTGAAGTGTGTTTTTTTTTAAAGCTGCATTTCTGGCTTTTCAACATCCTCCCTCCCTTTTTCCCTCTCTTAAGTCTTAATGCTGGGCTTTCTAAAGATGCTGGTACTGACAGATTAATGGCTTGCCTAGAGCTGTGCAAGAAACAGCCTGCCAGTCTGTCATTGTCATAGACCAGGGCAGAGCCAAAAGTTTTTCTTCCCAAAGGAGCCCTGCAGAACACATTGGTTCAGCTTTCTCTTTATTTCATTGAGTCAGACAACATAAATGTCTGTCATTAGTAAATGTCAGATGCATATTTACTTCCATTCTTACATGACTTTCCCCAAAACTTTTGATGGTACCAAGAAGGAGAAGGTTGATTTTGCCTTTTTCAGCGTGAAGAAAAATCGTGGAGTTCTGCTGATTGGAAAAGATCCACCCTGACTGGAAAGATCCAGTATGTCTTGTCTTAAATTGTTCAACAGGTGACTCATTGCCCAGTAAACACTTTTCCCCACAGATGTTACTCATGATAAAATATGAGAAGCAAATGTTCAGGTTTGCACATAAGTGATCTATTCCAAAAGGGTTTAATTATTCCTTTGATGTCCCAATTACATTTGCAACCTCTTTATTAAAAAAGGGGGGGTAGGGAGCAGGGAGGAGGGACAAAACACATGAAGGTGTCTCCACATTAAATCTTCAAAACTTTCATGATTTTATAGGGTCCTATTGGAAATGTCACGCTAGACTTGATGAAATAAGTTTTGGCTAGATTTCTTATCGTGGTTGTTGAGAGCCTGAGTAAGGTGGTATTGTTTACAGAAACTGATCAAGGGCTATAATTTAGAGTAAATCTTTTTTATAACAGCAATATCAATTAACACATGCCTTTCCCCTACTAGAGAGACCCCAGAACATATTAACTGATTCCCACATTTTCCTCTGAGTGTCTAGAGTTGCACAAGCAGCTTTGCTGAGGATTTTGGAAGGAACGCATATTTGGGCTTTTTATGTATTTCAGGGCCAGAAGGAAGATCACTAGATTTTTAAATTAAAAAAAATTTTTTTGCTTCCAGGTCTTCTCAGTCTTCTCTTCTGAAATCTGTCCTGGGTGTATCTTAACTGGTGGGTTTGATGAGTTTCACAGTGCATTTCTTTTTCCAACCCTTCCCTTTATGACATGAGGAGTCTCTCTATATATTCTTCCTGGAATGCACTGAGTTCCCAGTTAAGGCAGTCAAGTTCAGACACTACCTTATCCTCCTAGCTGATGCAGTATTTCCTCTATTGCAGAAGTCATGTTCCTGACAAAATTCTGAGTGTTTCTTTCTGGGAATAGCAGACATTCAAAACACTCACCTCAGAGCCAAACTAAGAGCATTCAGTTGTGAAATGTCTTGATCATCTCTAAAATGAGGGAGCTGTGGTCTGCCCTCTCCCTAACCCACTTGGGGTGCCTACCCTGGGTGTTCCATGGACACCCCTCTCAATTAGAAACCCTCATGGGCTAGGCCTTCTCCTCTAGGATAGATTCAAGACCTTTACCTCAGAATTATGTAAACTGTGATTGTGTTTTAGAAACAATTATTCTTTGCTAAAGCTAGACTTTTTGTATATGTGTAAATGATCATGAACATGTATTTTATAAAGTGTCCTGTACAGTAAACTTGCCCCTGCCAACGTATATATTTTTGGAAAGGATTCTTTCTCCTCAAGTCTTACCTGTGACTCTGTCTTGAGAATGTTTCCTCTGTGATTGTCAGCCAAGAGGTTGCTATGGAGAAAGCACAGCATCCCACAAATTAAGACACTCCTGTGTAGAGTACTGTAGCATGTATTGTTTATTCTGGTCAGTGGACTCCCCGCCTTCCTTATAAATGGTGTGTGGTCTTCCTGTTGCATTTCATTGGTTGAGGGGGTTCATAGCAGAGGATATTAGAAGAACTCCTTCTCATGATATTACCAATCACATCTTTGGTCTACGTTTCATACTTTTTATTGGAGACTTCAAATGCCGTAGATTTGTGTAGATTTCTAATACCAAAGACAGAAGTAAATGGTTTCCATGTACTATGTTTTGCCTGTATGCAGCCTTCATGTAATAGGTGAATTAGAAACGTATCTTATTTTGTAATATATTGTAAATATGTCAATACAATAAATAGATACTTCTTACCTGTAATTGATTTTGTGAAGATTGAAGATTCTTTCCACTAAACCATCTCATAAATCACATACTCCTAACATCATAATTACAAGCCCTGATTTTGGTCAAGTGTAGGTCAGGATTACTGCCTAATTTATGACTCATCAGCCAAAAGAAAATCTCAGTAGTGAACTGCAACATCTACTGACAGGCCTGTGATGTTCCCACCACCATTTTCAGAGCCTCCGGTGTACTTACAATGGCTCTGGAGGGCAGAACTTCACATTGCCTCCTTTCTCAGATGAGGAAAGTGAGGGCTATCAAACCCTGCAACTTTCCAGAGACCACACAGATGGCTGGTAAGTGCCAGAGTCAGTTTCCAACTTGGGAAGGTTGGCTCCAGAGCCCATATAACCACTACACTATCCTGTCCCACACTTTCTAGGACAAGAAGTTAGGTATGTGGTAAGCTTTAAGCTCACATAGCCAAGAGGAAACTAGTATCAGTAGTTTAACCAATCGAAGATTTAACAGGGAATTCAGAATTCTCTAAACAGATACTGTTTAGAGCAGTAGGGATCAGAGATGGAATTCCTTTACCCTCTTTTGACTTACCCTTTGGGAGGCAAACTTCTTCTGCTGACAGAGTAGGGTGTCAGGTTCTCAGTCATGGATGTACATTTGTTTTCTAAGGACCAAAAGAGATGTGTTCCATAGTAGTAATCTCTATTCAGTGTCACCTTCCCAAGGTATGCAGGAAAGGAGCTCTCCATACTTGCATTGCAATGCAGTATATCCTATAGCTCCTGTTCTTTTTACTGGAGGAGCTGAGTCTACAGGTGTCTTTATAACTTCACTTTGACATAAGAATATTACTATATAACTCTTAGATTTGAATTCATCATCATCATCATCATCATCACTGTCAGTTGTGCCTGGGAAGTGCTCGGCTCATGTGTCAGGATACATGGGAATACAGTCCTGGTGACACTCATATATTTGGTCTTGTGTCAAGTAATTGGTATGTGTCAGTGGTTAGTGCTTTGATAGCCTCTTTAGTTCTTGGACAGTTGGGAAGGAGGGGAGAGGGCATGGGCCAGAAGTCAGACTGACTACTTGGAATCAGTTACCCATCCCTGCCAGCCAGACCTCAGCCAAGCAATATCATCATTGTAACCTAATTCCTAGCATGGGGAAGACTCATGGGACATCAATACATGTAAAGTGGAATTGGGTCTCATTACTGTTATCAGATTGACTTGCTAAATATTTTTATAGTCACCATCATTTTATTAATTCCAAAAGCATAATTCAGGCTCATATATTAGGTGAAGGTGGAAAATCCTTAAAATTCCAAGTTAGCCTGTCTAGGAATGGAATTAGACTACTTGATATCACAAAAACAAGGAGAATTTTAGCATCAATTAGGCCTGATCTCAAGCCCTAGGTTTGCCATTGAGCATCAATTTTCTGAGCATCAAGTCATTTTCTGTACTAAAATTAATAAAGAATGAAATGATTGTATAACTATGAGAGTTTGAAAGGGCAGTTGTGAAGAATAACATAAACATGACACAGTAGTCAGTCAAGAAATGTTGGTGTATGGGGTTAGAAGTGTGGCTCAAGTGGTAGAGTACCTGCCTACTGAGTACATAAGGCCCTGAGTCCAAACCTCACTACTGTAAATGAATGCATGAATGAGTAGATGATTGAAGGAAGAATATTGGTCTTCTCTTTATGAACTGTAAAATAGGTATATATGCTTGCTGCCTTTATTCTGAATATAATTGAGAGTTAATGCCTTGTTTCTTATGATTTAATTTTCAATATTTAAATTATAGGCAGAATGAAAGATATTCAGGAAGATTACTATGCAAACCCACAAAGAATCTCAGAACTTGAATTTAACAGCTCCATATGATTTCAAACTAGGAAAATAGAATTTTTCTCCCAGCTCAAAAGCATTTAGACTTAGTTCATTAGTCTCTTCATTTTTGCACTGAAACTAGTTTTCTGGGATTGGCTGGGTTCTGATGAGAAATGTTATGAACCTGTCCGGTCTAGCAGACTTTGGAAAGCACTTAATTGTGAGTAATGAATAAATCTCAGAATGGAGGTCAGAAAGGAATTCTCTCTCTCATTAGGTAACATGGATTAGAACAGATAGTAGAAAACAGTGGACAGAAAAACAAACTTCTTTTGAATCACTGTGAACTCTGGCTCTGACAGAATTGCTAGGCACTGTGTCACTGCCAATAATGACTTAGGCTCGAGGCCAGAGGATTAGGGGCCTCATTGCTAAGATTCAGGTTGCCCCTCATGCCCTTCCTTTCATGAGGAAGGTGAACCCCAGAATGGCTGTGTTCAACCTGTGATCTGGCTTGCCCACGATCATACAGATTCAAAAAAAAAAAATCCACTGGTAAAGGCTTGTCCTGGCTATAGGTCAAACAATTGCTTCCTGATTTCCTCTATGATTTTTTCCCTCTGACTTTCTAGCATTTTCTATAATTCCTACAGTTTTTTCTGCCCACCCCCCCCAAATAAGGAAAAGAGATGTTCAGAGATTCCCAGACCAGGTAGAAATGTGACATGTCACAATCTCTCCCTCTGTTGCTGTCAGTTTGTATCAATAAGATTTGAGATATGTCAGTTGATTTAATAATGACTCAGGAGTCTGATCAAGAGTATTTGTGGATTTTCTGGTAATCAGACCAACCCTGTCACTAAAAGGGAAGGCTGGTTTTCATTTGTTTTTTTTTTTATTCTCAGTGATGACTACCGAGCTGTCTCCTCTTCACACTGTGCCGGTTCTTTGCCCTCATCTGTTCCACACACTCCACCAGGCATTTGTTATACAATATCTCATTTAGTTCTTGTAATCCGTCTGAGAGTCCATGAAAGACTGCCATCATCACACCTTTCACTCAAAAAGTCTCTACTCCTAGTCCAGTAACTCTTTTGTTTTACACCTAGGCTGGTTTTGTTTTCTAATAAAGCTATTTGACCTGTTTTATTCCTCTGCTGGGTCTGACTTCTTGTCAAAGATAAAGCAAACTCATGGTTAAAGTTCAGCCTTAGAGCCAGTTTATCTGGCTCTATTACTTAGCTTGCTAGCTGTCATTGGCAAAGTTGCTTTCTCTGCTTATTCCTGTTTCCCCAAGGTTAAAGTGAAGTGATGCTTGTAGCTACTGCAGAAGAAGTAAATGATGTAACGTGTAAAATGTCAAAGAAGGACCTGGTAGAGAGTAGACAGTCAATAAAGCAAAACAAAACCTGTTTTTTATAAATGGTTTTTTGGCCACCATTTAAAATATCTGCAGAAAACTAAATGTGTGTGTGTGTGTGTGTGTGTGTGTGTGTGTTGGTACTAGAACTTGAACTTAAGGCCTGGGCACTATCATTTAGCTTATTTACTCAAGTCTGGTGCTTTACCAGTTGAGCCACAGCTCTACTTCTGGATTTTTGCTGATTAATTGGAGACAGACTTATCTCCTGAGTAGCCAGGATTATAGATGTTCAGCTTTGAAGTTTAGTTCTTTGTGGAAAACAACAACAAAACAAATCCTCAAGGTTTATTGATCAATGCATCTTGGTCAATGTCATTCCTTTCATCATTGTCCCCATCTCTCCCAACACCACCCATCCCCACAGTTTTTTTTTAAGTTAACACAGGTATAGGAGGAATAAAAACACTCCCTTTCATTTTACACTAGCCTTTGGAAGATACATTCTTGAATTAACAGGTCATATTATTGAATTAACAGGTCATATTAGTAAGGCTTTAAAACTTGGGCACAAGTGGAACAAATCACTCTACCAGAGCATAGGGTATCAGCAACCTAATACTGTGTCACAAATTGCTCCAAAAAATTCACAGCTGAGAACAACAAACACTTGTTATTGCATTCCAGGGATCAGGAATGAAAGAGTAGATTACTTGGATATTTTCATCTTAGTGTGTCCTATGAGGCTTTAGCCAAGGTGTCAGACAAAGCTAGTTACCTCAAGACTCAGCTGGCATTGAGGAAGATCTATTCCCAACCCCCCCCCCACCCATGTTAATCACTTGGCTACTTCAACATGGCAGCTCCTTCCAAGACAAACATCCACAAGTGAATGAACAGGAATACTCAAGATGAACGCTCATCTTCTTGTAATAGTCTTAGAAATGGCAGGCAATCACCTCTATTCTCCTGTGTTCTTAAGTATTGAGTTGCTAAGTCCAACCCTCTCTAGGGGAAGGGATCACACAAGGACAAACATCAGTAGGAGAGGGCTTCTTGGGAGCTGTCCTCATGGCTGCCTGTCACAGATGGGTAAATCCCAAGGTCACTGAAGACAAGTAGGAAGCTTTACAGAAAGACATTGATTACTTGGGAGAAATGTAGCTGATGGTAGAGTTCAGTTCATGTACCGGGGTTTGAACTCAAGGCCTTTGTGCTTGCTCAGTTTGCTTGCTCAGCTAGTGCTATGCCACCTGAGCCATGACTCCAGCACAGCTTTTGGAGTTTTACCACCTGAGTAAGCTTACAAGCACCAGCCACCTGTGTCCATCTTTAAAAGTTTAGTTCTTTGTTTAAAAAAAATCCCCTTTGATGCCTTAAATCCATATTTACTGAGGTCAGCTCAATACCAGCTCCTAAATGGAGCATAAGAATGAATCATACACAGGTGTCTCACTGAGACTTTTTTCATTTAAAAAATACCCTTGTTGAGGCTCACAGTGTTGGGTGAGACAGAAGGAAGTCGCTGTGGAAAATTCCCTAAGTAGCCATGAAGTCATTCATTCATTCATTCATGAGCTCAACTAATAAATTTTGAGTTTCATCCAAGCACTCTGCAGTTCTAGGCTTCAAGGATACCACAACAAACCTAATGGGATTCTTCTATGGATGGAACTACTGATTGCAGATGACAATAAGCAGCAGGTAGATGAATCATGTTAGATAGTGGTAAGTGTGGTTGAGAGTGGAAGAAAAGGGGAAGTGAGGAAGTACTATTTCACAAGTGATCAAAGAAGCTTAATGAGGAAA